GGCCGGAGGATGGGAATCGGACACTGAGGGGGGCCCTCGGTCGAACGAATCGGAGTTCTGGCACGTGCCGTACTCTCCCCCCTCGTCCTCCGCCGGCCCCCCCGCCGCTGCTGTTGCCCCCCCCCCCCCCCCCTCCGCCTTGGGCCGCGCGCTGCAGCGCAACCAATGGTGCAATTCGAGCAGACAAGTAACACTCGGGCCACAGAAATGCAAATTCAAGCCACCCCGACCCCACATTTGGAGAGCCCCCCTGGGAGCGCGGTAGGGACCTCCGCTGTTGGGGGGTCTGGGGGGGGCCCTCATTCTATGTCCCTGAGAGCACGTGGGCCACTGAAGGAGCAGCATTAGTCGGTGCACTTGCTCAGACAGAAGATTGCAAATGGCTTCTCTTGCGCGTTCTCCAGCCGTTTTGGCTGGTGGGCTCGAACCAGTTCTTATTGTTAGTTCCACATTCGCTTCGTGGATTTCGGCAGCAGAGCGGACGATTGCTGCTCGCCACAGGCCAGGCGAGAACGAGCTCCCCAAGTCAGCGGCAGCCTCGCTTGGGAAAGCGAGAGGGCCATCACTTCGCATCGAGGAGGTGCGCGTGCCCAACAAATTTCGAATTGTACCTATCCGAGGCTCTATCGCAGGGTGGTGGCTGCTGGCCCACGCAGTTCTCCAGCAGTTGTTACAGCATCGGCAGAAAGGCATCGGCGAGGTACAGCAACGGCATTTACAGCGCGCCTGTTGGCGACCGGCAACTACATTTCCCGAAGGAGTGGCCCGAGGTCTTCGTGACAACGATCCTTCTTGGGAGACTTGGGTCGGCCCCCTCGCCAACATCAGCAAAGCATCGGTGGATGTTCTAACGCATTTTGAGCAGGCAGCGCTTCGGCTCGCCAAGCGAGCCCGAAGTAGGGCAGTCTGCGAGTCGCTTTCAGAGTTCAGATCTTGGGTGACAGCGGCAGAGGCGAAAGGGGCCATGTTCCGCAGCCTCAAGGAGACGCCGCTCACGGTGGATGAGATGACCACCAAGAGCGGCGGGGCCATGTACCACCCTGTTGACGTGGTGGACCACAAGGCGCAGCACTTGCATCGGTTGTGGGCCCCAGAGCAGGTTGACATATAATGCGCGGTGCAGCTGTTTCAGAAGATCAGAGAGGCATCAGAGACAGCGGCGCTTCCGACGATAGGGGCGAGCCAGCTGGGCAGGGCAGTCAGGCGAATGAAACCCGCGCAGGGCTCGGAGTGGACAGACTCACCCCCGCTGACACCCAGGGGTCCCCGCAGTCAGCGAGGGCCGAGCTGGTCGATTTCTACAGCCAGGTAGAGGAGCATTTGACCTGGCCATGTTAACTCCTTATTGTCGAGGGCCGCCTTCTGCCCAAGAAGGCCCTGGGCGACAGAGTCATTGGATTCGTTTGTGCGATCTGTAGAATATGGTCTCTTATACGCAACGACATCATGAAACCACGGATTGTTGAACCCAGTGAAAATTGGGATGCAGCGTTGGCGGGCAACTCAGCACTCCGCGAAGCTTTCCTCAAGACTGTCTACGAGGAGATCTACGGAGTGCTCGGCGCGTCCTATGCACATGCGATCTCGAATATATAGTCTTTCCACGACGCAGCGACATGGGCATGCTTAGTTTATGCAGCACTGAAGCTGGACTTCCCGCCAGTCGTTTCATTTCTAGAGCTACAGCTCTGCGCGGCCCACAGAACGATGGCTCACTTAGGATCGACATGCTGCCCTTTTCAGGTGGCGAGGTCGATCACCCAGGGCCTTCGGAACGGGGTGCGCTTCGGTAAGTGCGCGACGAATTTTGTTTTGAAGCGGATCGCTGGGGGCAGTCCAGGCCTCCAAGCGCGGATCTGGATCGACGTCCTGCGTGAATCAGTTGTGGGATCAGAGCGGCATGTGTGTTTTTTCTCCACAAAAAAATATGTCAAAGGCGTGGCAGACGCGATTGAATTTCTGGCAGTAGAGAAGTTGTCCGCGGCGTCGAAGAGCGTCTCGATCGCGGCTAGACATCAGCAGGCCAAGACGACTGCATCAGCTCATAGACGACATGGGCATCGCCGACGGCCAGTGCTACAGGCAGCGCGCCTAGGAGTGGATCTCGTAGCTGGCCGCAGGGCAGCACGGGCGACGAGGCGAGGCCATCTCGTCAGAGCAACAGGGCGTCATCGGAAGATTTCGAGATGGGCGAGGGCCAGTAGACACCATGCAGTGACAGCCACTTTAGAAAAGGTTGCAGGGCAGACGGCGGCACATTATGGTAATCAGATCCACGGGATGTTCGGCGCAGAACTTCTCAACCTGCGACGCCGCTTGGGGACAGTTTGCGGATCCAATCGTAGGGGGCGTTGCTTGACCACGACGTTCGACCTGAGAGCACCGCAGCAGGACCCCGCAGCTCGCTTGAGCAAGGAATGCGTGAGTGGCTAAGGCTTTGGACGTCCAATAGTTGTATCAGATCGTCAGTCTCCAAAGTTTGGCCAACCATAGTTTGGCAAGGTGTAAGCGCTCACCAGCATTGAGAGGGCTCGCCACGTCCGTGGGTCAGTCAGTGCAGTGATCGCTATGCTGTTACATCACAAGTGGGAAGCGATCTCGCCATCGCACTAGCAACTCCAGCGCGGTGGGGGCACGAGTGAGCATATCGAGTGGCGTTTCAACAAAGCGGAGCTGATGGGTTCGGAAGATTTCAGCGATGTCATGGCAGATATGGCGACATCTGTGATGGAATGTCGATGGCAGCAAGCGGCGTATCATTACTGCGGCGGGGGCATGTCGAATGGCATCGGCAACGAGCCCCTTCGCGCATTATTGAGCCGTCTGGGGCAAGCCCCCAAGGGGGCACAATAGGCCGAGACGACGCTGGCTGTGGCGAGGACGAGGTTCGAGACTGACGACCCAGCGTTCAAGTTGCGCCCGAGGTGCTTCCGGAAACAGGCGAGCGCCGCCCAGAGACGCCGCTCCGCAGAAGTTGGGCTTGTCCTCGGAACACTGGGCATCAGGCTTATCGTGACTCAGACCAGTACGTACCCCGAGCAGTTAGTCAGCACGAACGGTACGAGTGTTTCTGGTTCTCAGGGCTGCTACCCAGTTCGTGGACGGAGGTCCCTTCGCCGTCCAGAGTTGAGAAATGGTGCTTCGAGTCAGAGCAGCCCGACGGCGATCACATTATTGTTGTGGGCACCGATGATCATCCGGTACAAGTGGCACGTGTGTGCCCAGGCTCATACAACAAGCTGAAGGGGCGTTTGAAGCAGGAGTGACATGCAACAGCGAAGTCGCACTCGAGCGCAAGTGAGGTTGCCACACCTTGCGATGTGTGTACCAGGGCCCCCCAGGAAGCCTCAGGAGGCCCGACTTGGATACCAGAAGAGGCTCCAGGAGGCCCCAGGATTGTGAGTGTGTGTGTGTGTGATGTGTGCTTTGTGTGGTGCGTGCTTTTTGTGTGTTGTCGTGTGTGTGTGTGTGTATGTTATGTTTGTCTAGCGTGTGATGTGTTGGGCGTGATTTGTGTCTCTGTGTGTGCATGTAGTTCTGCCCCAGGAGCCCCAGGAGGCCCCAGGCGGCCTCAGCAGGCCCAGGAGAACTCCAGGAGGCTCCGAGGCGGGGTCTGGGGTACCAGGAGGCCCCCAGGAGGCTCCGAGGAGGGGTCTGGGGCTCGATTTTGGGAGGATGTCTCAGGCGAAACCGCCATTCTCTGAGAATCGGGGTCAAAATTATTGAAATTACCATGTGTTTTTGAAGGTTTTATGTTAAAATGTTGAAATTCCTATGTGTTTTTGGACCTCTCCTTCACGATCTGCGTGAGGGGTGCCACCGATTTTCAGAATTTCGAGGATGTCCCGAGCGAAACGGCCGGGAAAATCGAAGACGCACGCACGCACGGACGCACGGACGCATTAATCCCCTCTGAGCTCTACTCCCTCGGAGAGGTGCGTATGAGAATATGATTATATATATATATATATATATATATATATATATATAATATAATATATAGATATGTGGATATGCAAGTGGAGACGCAGATGCTCACCCAAGTTGAGGAGAGTCGGCCTTGGTTTCGCGATCGCGGAGCAGTGCTATCCAGTTCGGCTGGGCCTCCAGGCTCATGGGCCGTTAGACGGGAGACGCCAAACTGTGTACAGCGGCGAATTGGCTGTTCTACAATCTGTGCTCAGATTCACTCGAGGAGAAGTCATCTATCTCGAGGAGAAAGGCTGGATATCCTGAATGTATCTTCATCCTCGTGAGGCCAGATGAATTTGCACTTGTCGGGATTTGAAGCTGCAGAAAAAAGATATGCGCCGTGGATGCGGCACGGCAATCATCGAGCTGATGAATTGGCGGGCCGAGCAGCACAGGGGCACATATTGCCAGCAACTGTTCGGGCCCGAGTTGCACAGCAGGAAAAAAGAGCGGAGTTGGTGCGGCGCCGGCTCGTCGGAGCCACGATGGACGCCAGGGTTGCTGACCCCACGCCGAAGAGAGAGTCTGAAAAAACTTCGCTTGATCCCGCTTGCCCCGACAACTGTTTTTCGTTTCTGTACCACGCATATTCTTGAGGACAGTGGCCGACGATGTCACTGGTCCGCGACCAAAAAAAGTTTCGCTGACTGGTTGACGACGCCATGTTTTTCCTTGCAGTCTGTGGACGGTGTTGTATCACGAATATTTCCAGGGTGTAAAGTCCATCGGGCGGGGGGGTGGCTGCATTCCTCACATAAGCTACGGTTCCACGCTTATTTGAAGTACTGGTTTTGCGGGGCGTGTACTCATAGAACCAACAAGCCCGACAATAACATTTAAACAGGATTGAGGATGGGCTCTGGCCAAAGTTTTTGTCATTGTCGGAACAACGAGCCAGAGGCCGCATCCCTCCTTAGTTGATAGTTTTCTCGCTGCGCGAATTGACTATTCCCATTCCCATTCCCATTCCTCCTCGTCCTCCTTCTCCTCCTTCCCCTCTCTCCTTATCCCTTGTATCCCCGCTCGAGGCCCACAGCCTGCTGGCGCCAGGGGACCGGCCCGCGGAGGCGCCCCCGAAGGAATGACCGGCTCGGCGCGCGCGCGCTGGGCTGCCAAAAGGTGCCCACGCCGTCGCTCCGGGTACCACAGATTGGATGTCCGTTCCTTGGCACCTCCGTACGATGCTATCGTACGGAGGCATGTCTAAGACATGGGTACCCATGTCTAAGACACGGGTACTATATTTCGGTATCCATGTCTAAGACATGGGTACCGAAAGAATGGGCACGAAGACCGACAGTCGTTCTAGCCCATTTTCAAGAGGAGTCGGTTTCGGCGTCGCCGCGGACTTCGTCCGTTTGAGACAGAAGGTCGCCTGCCCAAAAGCGACAGCTATCGATTTTGGATAATAATTGTTGTTGGGCATTGTGCGCATTTTCCGTATCAGTTTCTGGCGTCCAAACATTGCTCGGACGCGATAATTTTTCGCCGAGGCCAACGCTTCAACATGTGAACCGTCTTGGAGCATTTGGGATCATCTTGAAGAACAATGATGCACGGAACCAGACAATGTACGGGGAATGGATGTCCGAGCGGTGGCAATGATCATTGGAGCGTTGAGCGGCGACATTGAAGTCAGTTGTTTCTGCACTTGGGTCGCATTTGGACCGTATTTGGCTCTTCCCCGTTCTTCTCGACTCCCTGGTGAAATGGCGAGTGCGGTCCAGGTCCAGTCCAGAGTGTGTTCCAAATTTGAGCCAAATGAGACCCAAATCGGACAGCGCCAGGGGCCACGAAGGCTCCCATGGAACGGACTCCAAAAAGAACCACGGCCACGACAAACTGGACTTTACGGGATGGCCCCTCGGGGAAGAATCCACCGACCCCGACATGAACACTTGAGTTATGGTTGTGGTCGGTGTGGCCGCCCTGCGACGCCACAGCGACCACACCAGCACTGAGCTGGCTTCGGTGCTCTGACGATCGTTGGCATGCGCAGGACGCCCCCCAGGGTGTGTCTTCGATGTGGCTGGGGTCCACTGTCCCCGCTGTTGCGCGCGCGCGCTCCATGCGCGCCGTCCGCTGCGCGCGGCGCCTCCGAAGCCTTCGCTGTTCGGGGTCGAGTAAGAACGGGTCACCATTCTCTGTGGACCACAGAGGAAATCGGGCCGCGGGTCGCACTCCCAGGTGGGGATGGGTGATCGGGGTGATCTAAGTGCTGTTTGGGCTGGGGGGCCGCGGGTCGCACTCCCAGGTGGACCATGGGGGTGTTTTAAGTGCTGTTCGGGGTCGATTAATAACCGATCAGCCCCCCCAGCCCGCACTCCCAGGTGGGGATAGGCCCCGCGAGACCCGAAGAGAACAGACTGCATCCCCATCCTAAGGGCGTAAATCAGCCAGCGAGGGTGGGGATAGGTCAAACGGTGTTCAGGTTTCGTCTTCGTCGTCGCCGTTGTCCCCCCCCCCTCCTCCCCATCGGGCGGACTCAGGCACGCTTGTCTGTGTGCGTCGTTTCCACAAGGGCGTTCCGCACACTTACCACACGCAGGAGCTGTCTGCCAGACGGCCTGGGTAACGATACGATCTCAGATAGTTGTTTGGATCGGACGTGCGCCTCCAGCAGGAGTGCGCACGTAATCGGTACTAGTGCGCCTTTCTGCGTCCCATCCCAGACCGCCTCGCGCCGTGACCCAAACCGCGACGAGCGTTCTTGACAAGTCGTCGGCCTCTGGGGGGGCAGGGGGCCCCTGCCGGGGGCCCTTGGGCTTCGAGAACAGACCTGCCTGGGACGACTGAAAGCGGTCTTGGGGAAGGGGCCGAGACCTCCAGGGGTCCACGTCGGCCAGAGATAACGCGAGGGGGGGTACGCGGCCCAGGGGGGAGATACATCGACCCATAATCGTCCACTGATCGGCCGATAGGGCTCTGATTGCCTTCCTCCGCCCAGGCACGTGCGGATGCGCTAAGTATCGCGGCCCTGTCGCTGATCTATCGGCGATGCGTCGCCAGTTCCGGGGCGATGCCTCCCCCCCGTGGGCTGGTCCTCTCTGTCGTTGCCCCTCGGTCGTGAGCAGGGCACGACGTCCACGTCCCGGCTGGAACCTTCGGCGGCCCACCGGCTGCCCAGCCGCGGCCAGCCGGCGGCTGACCGGCGGCCTATCGTCGGCCCATCGGCGCCCCATCTGATGGGCCTACCAACACCATAAGTTGGAGGGGGGAAGGAGCATTTGATGGGCCCGTTTTCCACCACCACCACCACCACCACCATAAGTCGGAGGGGGGAAGGAGGGGGAGGGGGAGGGGGAGGGGGGGAGGAGATGGAGGAGTACACTGGAAGGACGGATGGTTTCAGGAGGAAGCAGGTTTCCGTGGACACGGTCTTGAAAGGTAAGTGGTTTGCGCATAGTATTCCGCGTCTTCGTGCCTGGCGAACTCTAGATGCGCTTCTTGTCAAGGCTACAGAGTGTGCAGGAGACCTGGAGGGTTCTGCGATGTGGCCTTCGCTGCGTGCTACAATTCTCGGCCTGAGCTTGGACAATCTAGGTGCCAAGTTCCAACGTCTGGCTCCTAGCCTTCCTGGTTTGATCAGAAAGATCGAGGACTCCCATGGGATCGAGATCGGCTACCTGGGGCCAGCCTGCAAGATGATGTACGATAAGAGTTTCAAAGATCAATCTGCTAAAAGATGGGCGGATTGGAAGGCCTGGGCCCAAGATGCTGCTTCTACTAAGGCTGGTAAGGCCGCGCACGCCTACTCTAAGGTCAAGGCTCCTGCTCAGGGGCCTCTTGCTGCTGAGGGGTGGGCGCTCCGAGGTGACAGTGCAATTTCTGCTCTGCAGGAGGAGTGGGGGAGGTACTGGCTTACGCATGAGTGTGCTCTCTCGCCTGTGCAGCATGACGAAGCAGATGCTGAGCCTCCTCTTGATAGGCCCGATAGGACAACAGGTTAGGTGGGCCCTCAGTAAGGTCAAGCACGACACTGGTTTGGGAGCTGACTGTATGAATCCTAGGAACTGGTTATTGCTGCCTGATGATTATGTGGATCGGTTCACGGACCTTCTGATGCTTTGGGACAGGTGCCCCAAGTTGCCCGATAAGCATGCCACCCTCATTGTGCTCCAGGGTAAACCTGACGGTGCTGGATTGCGCCCGCTAGCTCTTATTGTGAGTGTGCTCAGGGTCTGGGCTAGAGTTCGTCAGCAGGTGGTCAGGTCTTGGGAGCGTTCACACTCTGCTCAGTTCTTCTGGGGTGAAAGGTACAAAGAGTGTGACAGGGCAGGGTGGAATCATGCCACGATGTGTGAGTTTGCTAGCATAAAGTGCCTCCATTCTGGGACCCCGAGCGAGTGGCACCTTCGATACTCTTTGAGGAAGCCAAGACCACAGGTCTCAGTCTCCGTCTTACGCGTGCTGCTATCCAGTTGTATGTTGGCGCTCGTGCCCTCACGCTTCAGGGTGCGATCTCGGCAATCTTACACGCGACAGGGACTATCTTGACAGGCTGTAGTCTGGCCACATCTTTCGCGCGAGTTGTAGTGAAAATATTTCCCTCGGCGATCACGGCAGCCTACCCTTCTCTCACGATCAGAAATGTGATTGGCGATGTTTCGACACAACCCAATGGTACGGTACCGTTTGTGGGGGAGCAATTGGGAGGAGCTGGGGTGATGTTTAAGGAGGGTTTTGACAAGCTCAGGCTTGTTTTGTCTGGCAAGAAGACCAAGTGCATTGCATCGTGCAGGGGGTTAGATGTTGTGCCCGGTGGGCTCTGGAGTAAGTACGGTTTTAAGTCTCAGCTGGTGGTGCGGTCGTTGGGTTGTGACGCAGTTGCGAGACGTATTCGGCGCAACCTTACTGCCCGCGCTCGCCTTTTGAAGGCCTCCAAGCGGTCCAGAATGTTACTGAGACTGAAGAATGCGGGGGCTTTCGTGGGCAACGCACAGCGAGCTGGACCCCGAGCGGCAGGCCTCTGGGGTTCAGCTGTGGCAGGGTTCAGCCCCAAGCAGTTGCACGCGATGATGCTTGCAGCAGCGCGCAGTTTGAGCAAAGACAGGTCTGGGGCCCTCATGTCGTCCAGACTCAGGTCTCACCCTATTGGAGCCCGTATGGGCCCATATGGTTACTACCGTACTAACGTGGTGTTACAATGGTGTCGGGCTATCTGGGATGGTGATGCTGGGCTTGATGTCATGCAAGTGGTGTTTGAGCGTGCTGTGGATGACCTCTGGCAGGTCCGAAGACCGTCGGATGCATGTACCAGTCCAGCTGACATGTATACTTACTCACGCTGCGCGGTTTAGGCTGGATGCCTGCTTCGGCCAGACAGGTGTCTACTGCTCAAGGTGAAGTGTTGGACCTGTTTTCGCTATCGCCTGTTATGGTCAGCAGTCTTGCGCAGCGCGGTGCAGGACACTGGGCTGATAAAAGGGCCGTCCTCCTCAGACCTAAGCATAGCGGGGTCTGGTGCAGGCCTGTTCTGTGGGAGGGGATCAGAAAGCTTCTGAGAGACGGGCGCAGTCAGGTCTGGTGTCCTCATCACAAAGCGTGCGTGAGAAATGCGTTTGCTTTCGGTTCCTGGACTCAGGCTCGCCTTAAGGAACACGGGCTGGCCGAGGGCGACTTCTGCCAGCTGAGCCAGGCATGCAAGGGCACCCTGTACCATGGGAGATTCGAGTGTGAGGCCTTCGACGGAGACAGACGTCAATATCTATATGTTGCCTGTTTGAAGGCGGCGAGAAGAGTGAAGGGCTGGGGGCGGGATCTTGAGAAGTATGCTGCTGGGGTGCTTCCTCATCCTCGCGAGCTGATTTCCCCTCCTCTCCCTCGTTCCTCCTACAAGGCGCTGTGGTTCAACAGGCCGACCTGTGGTGGGCTGAGCGGCAGAATTTTCACTGGTGGTTCGGCTATTAACCCACAGTGCGTTGACATTCGCAGGGTTGGTTGAATAATGGGGTGATTTGATTTCTGCTGCCTATGGGCCTGTGCCTAGTGCAGAAGCCCCGTGGCAGCAGGCTAGAGATGGTGAGGACTACGCCTACAGAATGGCGTCAGAGCTTGTTCAACCGTTTTCCGACAACACGTTTATATATTTACGGTTTGCCAGGGGACCTTGGGTTGTGTGTGGGACAGGGCCAGCAGCTGCTCTTCCCAGAATCCTAGGGCGCACCTCTGGTCCAGGGTTTGGCATGTTTTTTTTTTGTTTTTTTTTTTGTTTTTGAAAACGGGGTGTTTGCGTCCAAGGTCAAAGGCCATGCGACTGTGTCCGATGTTTGAAGCGGCAGATGTTCGGAGGCAGAGCGCCTCGGTAATAAGCCTGCAGACAGGTTTGCTAGACTAGGTGCTGCGCGCCACCCTCTGCCTGAGCAGTGTTTGGAGCTCCGTTCCCTGTTGGCTGAGCACCAGAAGGAGCTGCTAAGGTGGGGTGGCATGCAAGATGTAACGATGGCTGCGCGAGGTTGGGTGGACTCGTCGGGCTTCTTTGGGCTCGTGGAGGTGGACGGCAACACGGCGAACACCCCCAAACCTAGGCCATCCATGTGTGTAGCTGTCAGGCAGATGCAACGTCTCTCCGAGGTAGGTCGTCGACGTTGGGCACCGCGTATTGATTTCAAGGTGCCGGTTCTGTCTGACACGCCCGATGATGTACCTGCGGAGGTTCTAAGTGAAACCGCCCTCCTGTCCAGACTGCAGGGCCATAGCCTTTGCAAAGCAAAGGTTTTATCAGGGACGATGGGATGGCTGGTGGGAACGGGTGGGTGATATGCTGCTTGAAGTGTGGTGGATGTGCCTGGTCTGGCGTCATGTCTTTGGCTACCAGGTGTCAGGGTACGTCTTGGACTAAGGACCTCAGGCAACAAAGATCTAGGTTTCTGCGAGGTGCGTTCCCCTCCTGGGCGAAGCAATATGCAGGTTGGACTGTTTCAGGACATGGATCCCCGTCTCCCTTTGACTTGCTGGCCTTTGATCAGGTCGGCTCACAAAAGGGTCCATGTCAAGCACACTGATGACAATGATCAGGCAAATTGTGCTCCAGGCCTGTGGAAGGAACGGCGGGGCCCTGCCCAGTTACTCTCACGGCTTGGTTTTGTGATGCCCGCTCCGAAGTCGTATGTTGCTGAGTGAGGGAATGTTGTTGCTTGGGGCGGCTGGCACCGACGGCCGCTTCCATTGAGCACAGTACAGTACAGGAGGAGGAGGAGGAAGAAGAAGAGGAGGACGCCCTCCCCCTCCAACTTATGATGGTGGTGGTGGAGCCCCATCACCATCGGCTGCTTTCGGCGGCGCCAAGGCGGCGCCAGCGAAGACGGCGCGCGCCGGGCTCCAAGACGTGCCCACGGTGTCGCCTTTTCCCGCGGCGCGGCGGCCAGCGCCCTTTGAGGGCCTCGCTTTCGCCTTCGTGGCCGTCTTCCTCATGCGGGCAGCGGGAGCAAGAGGAGCAAGAGGAGGAGGAGGAGGAGGAGGAGGAGGAGGAGGAGGAGGAGGAGGAAAAACATTCGAGAAGGACGACAGGAGGAGGAGGAGGAGGAGGAGGAGGAGGAGGAGGAGGAGGAGGAGGAGGAGGAGGAGGAGGAGGAGGAGAGGAGGAGATGAGGAGGAGGAGAGAGGAGGAGGAAGGAGGAGGAGGAGGAGGGAGGGGGAGTAGAGGATGAGGGAGGAGGAGGAGGAGGAGCAGGAGGAGGAGGCGGGGGACGAGGAGTAGGAGGAGGAGGAGGAGGAGGAGGAGGAGGAGCAGGAGGAGGAGAGGAGGTGGAGGGGGAGGAGGGAGGAGGAGGAGGAGGAGGAGGAGGAGGGGAGGAGGAGGAGGAGGAGGAGGAGGAGGAGGAGGAGGAGGAGGAGGAGGAGGAGGAGGAGGAGGAGGAGGAGGAGGAGGAGGAGGAGGAGGAGGAGGAGGGGGAGGGGGAGGGGGAGGAGGAGGAGGGAGGAGAGGTGAGGAGGAGGAGGAGGATGAGGAGAGGAGGAGGAGGAGGAGGAGGAATGGGGCCTGGGAGCTCGGTAGCAAATCATGGGAGCCTTGTATGTCCTGGAATTCCGCTTTCAGAGTGCACAAGCGAGCTCTAGCGTCTGGTAATCGATGTAGCGTCGATTAGCGTCGATTTAGCGTCGATTAGCGTCGAGTCGCGTCGGTTAGCGTCGATTTGTATTGCCAGCAAGGTGGCATAGGAGGCTCGCATAAGTTGCCACCGAAGGGGGAGGGGGGGGAGGGGCAGGTTGTGCACGAGAGAGGACGGGGGGTGGAGGGGGCAAGCGGCGAAAGAGGACCGAGGAGGGACAGAGAGCAGACGGAGGAGCATGAGGCGGATGAGGGGATGGCGCAGGGGGAGGAGATGGCGAAGAGAATGGAGGAGGAAAGTGAGGACGGAGTGTAGACGGATAGGGGAGAAGGAGGTCGCGGTGAAGCAGGATAATGAGGAGTCGGACGAGGAGGTCGACGTTGTCGGGGAGGGGGAGAAAATCAGGAGGCTGACGGAGGTGGCGAGCGACGGAAGGGCGGGATCACGCGTCATCTTCTCTCTCCTCCTCCCCCACTTGTCTCCGGAGGTCCATGGGGTCTCCACCTCTCTGGAGGCATCAGAAGTTACCGGAAGGCCCAGAGACGCGTCAAGCAATGCACATATCCAATATCCTCGACCCTCGGCCCCTGGAGGAGGAGGAGGAGGAGCCGCAGCAGCAGCAGCAGCAGCAGCAGCAGCAGCAGCAGCCCGGGAAGGAGGGGTGCTCCCCTTGACCTCCGCGCCCGCGCCGCGCCGATCCGCTCGCGCCCGCGCGCGGCGCAGGCCAAGGGCCCCAAGGCCGCCGCGGCGGCGGCACTCGCCGAGGCGTCCGGTCCGGCCACCGACACCCCTGGCGGGGCAGGAGAGCCAGCAGAAGCAGCAGCAGCAGCGGCAGCAACAGCAGCGGCAGCAGCAGGCCCAAAGGAACGAGGCGAGGACGTAAGCCAGCAGCTGGATTCCAAGCTCCAGCAGTTCCAGGCCTAGGAACAGGGGGGGAGCGAGAGGCGTGGGACGGTGTGTGCAGGGCATACGCGATCCCTTTTCCCTCTTCTTGCCTCGTCATTCATCTCAGCAGTAATCAGCTATCAGACCAGCAGCAGCAACAGCAGCATCAACAGCAGCAGCAAAACATCGCCACGCTCAAAGGGGGCGCAGGCGATCCTCCTCACGACGGGGCGCTCCAGAAATAGCCTAGCCCACGAGTGACCGGAGGAGATGCCGTCTCCTCTCCGGCGGGCAGCGACGGGAGTAATACAGGGGGTGGCTCCGCTTTTGTCATTGGCCATCGTATAGCACTTGCTATGATTTGTGTTTTCGCGCTGGCATCTCGGAAGAGCAGTCCTATGAACAAGTTTGCAATGTTTTGGTAGATGGTTGCACAAACGTCTCGTCGTCAATTGTTGGGCATGAGTTTACGCAGGAACAACAACTGCACATTGAGAGTAAGATTCGCGAGTTGGCCCCCGGTGAGTTTAGCGATTGGAAACGCTTTGCGCGCTCTCTCTCTCAGTGCATATTCCCAGGGCCTTGGCGGCACTCCCGCGCCCAGTGCGAACGCACCGGCGCGCATCCAGGGCATCACAAAGCGTGGTATGAATCAGCCCGGCAGTGGAAGGAAGAAGAAGCGATAGTCTGGTGGATTGAGAGGAAAAATAATACAGGGGGTGGCTCCGCGCGCGGGAAGCCAGCGGAAGTAGTGATCGCCACCCAAAAGGTGTCAAGCTTCTATGGGTTTGGGTTCCAGGAGTTGGCCACGTGTGCGTATGGTGTTGCATGTTTGGGGCCATTTCCAGGGATCTGAACATTGCTTCAGAGATTCCTAGGCTTATAGTTGCGCTCGTATGGAAAACGCACATCATGTTGATTTCGCCAAAGATGTTCGAAATATGTTCGCGGCGTCTGTTTTGATATGTTCGAAATATGTTCTGCCGATGGTTCTGTTTGATATGTATTTTAAGTATGGTTGTGTTGCGAACAGAGTTAAATATCGTATTTTGCACATATATTATACACTTGCGCCACTGATGTTTATGAGTGCCTAACGTAGCCTGCGCTCGCAAACGCCATGGTTTGCATGACGCAATGATAAAAGTGCCACTCATCATATCCAGCGCACGCAGTTCCGACAGTCCCAGTGCACTTTAATCATGTAATACAGCGTTCCCAGCTTCCCACGAAACCCCTGCATAAGTCGGCGTTGTCCAACTTTGGGTATGTCTGTCCAGGTTCATTGCTGACCCAGCTCATTTGATTTTGTTTAGCCCATCTCGACCCAGCGCAGCCCATCCCAGCATGGGTCAGGGGGCCAGCTCAACGCAGCTCAGCGCAGTTCAGCGCAGCTCAACTCAGCCCAGACAGTCCCAGCATAGCGCCTGGTCCTCCCGTTCTGCCGCCCTGCGCAGTTTTGGGGAGGAGGAAGAGGAAGGGGGCAGCGGAGGATGAGGAGGGGGGAGGAACAGGAGGAGGAGGAGGGGGAGGAGGAGGAGGAGGAGGAATTGCTGACGCTTCGCGGATCCCCACCAGCCAACCCAGAAACGCTGCCCAAATGAATTGCCTCGATCAGGGAAGTGAGCAGCACGCAGAGGAAGCCGCCATGGAGACATCTTGTAGTGTTTTGAGCCATACTGGAGGTCATCTTGGGATTTTGGGCTCTCAAACGCGCTCTTGGAGTCATCTTTCTTAAATCAGTCTCCCCCCGCCCCCCAAGAGGCCAACATGCGGCGTGGCCTCCGCCAGTGCTGCTGATCCGCGGCGATTCCGCTGCTGTCGGGGGCAGCCCAACGCGTCTCTGTTCCTCCTCCTCCCCCATCCTCCCCCTCCTCCTCCTTCTCCTGTTCCCTCGTCATCGTCATCTTTTCCTTCCTGGTAGTCCTCGCCCCCATTTTGCCCCTCCCTCCGCGGGTGCCTGGGGGGGAGGGCGGTTCCAAAAAGGGACATGAATTCGGTATTTTTTCAAAACGATTTTTCAAATAAAAAAACAGGACGCAGGCTTCCTCGCCGAGGCCGTTTTCGACGTTTCGACGATTCGCGGAACCCCTTGTCATGGCCCAGGGGAGGGGGTCGGGGGAGGGTTAAGGTTAAAGGTTAAACCGAAACCCCTCCCCGAAGGGGAAGGCGGAGGGGTGGAAGAGGAAACTCCGGGGCACGCTCCGATGACAAATGTTGACATGCGTTGCAACCATCACAGTCCAGAGGAGGGAACGGGGCTTCCTCCCGAGGGGTGGGATCAACAGTTGGGCCCGGCCAGGGCCCAGGCCACAGTCGTGGTAACATCCGAACCCCGACCAATGCAGTCCGAAATTCAATTCAAATTATTGTAGCCAGTGCCCCCCCCCCCACTTCCGCAGCAGACCCCCCCTTTTTCCATCAAGACAATTGTTGTCAGCAAGAGTGTCGCAGGCAAAAACGCGCGCCTGGGCGCTGGGGGAAAGGGGGCCGTCGAGGGGCCGATGCCGGGTTCGCTCCGAAGTCTTGGCGCTGCAGCCCCTTAGGCCCTAGCCCCTGGCCCTAGGCCCTCGGAGGCCCTAGGCCCTAGGCCCAACAACCAGTGGGGGAGGGGTTCCCGGGGGCAGGGGGGCGGAGCTCTTGGGATCGAGCTGTTTTGCAGCATGCTGCCTCCCAGTCCTCGGGCATGGACTGGCGGGGCAAGCGGGGACTCGAGTCCTGATCCGTGGGCGCCCGCGTCCCCGCCAGTCTCAGTTGCGCGATGTTCAGATTGCGCAGGCAGCGAGTTGGCTGATTGTCCGACGCCCCTCGGTTCACCGCGATCAAATGTGCCATTTTCTTCACCTGAAGGTTCTGCGGGGCGCGACCCTTCGCCCGAGCTTGCTGACAGGGATGTTTTGCCTTGGGAGCCCCCTCTGAGTCCTGAGAGCCCCCGCAGTAATTTACCGCCACTGGCGCATTACATGCAGAGAGATTCGACTGGCTTCACAAGCCCGCGGTTACCTCTTGCAGACGACGCACAGCTGCAACCATTGTCAGATCCTGGTTCTGGGAGTTTGTGGGAATTGTTGAGGCCGACAGGCCAGGCAGTTCATAAAACTGCAGTCGCCCTCATCTTAGATCGCGAGTTGGAGCCATCTGAAGAAATTTATAAATGCATGGACTTTCTCTTCGGTGGTGTTCCTCGTCCGGCCACCTCCGTTGCAACTGAGTCGAGACTCCTCGACCTGCCGCCGAGAGATGCAGCGCTGTTGCCACTCCAGGTTGCTGCAGTCAGCCATTATGCGTTACGGTCATTTCTAAGTTCTTTATGTTCGCATTTGACGTTTCTGCACGACCAGAAGCACATTCGATTAATTTGCGCTGGAACGTTCCTGGCTTACGATGAGACTCCCCTATCTTTCGCCGTCTCGGATGCGCCATTAAATCGGGTGTTCTTGGAATCAGCTCTTGAAGCGCGCAACAGGCCCGACGATTCCAAAAAAAGAAGGAGGTTTGA